CCTGGGCACACTCTCCCTGTTTGCCTCCCTCAGACCCTAAGTTTGTAGAGCTTGGGGCTGAGAACTCCCAGCGAATTTGCTTGCCCTCCGGTAGCCACGCCCCCAGTAGCTGGTGCAAGAGACCTCAGCTGTCAGCACTGGTGGGAGCGATAGCCAGGAGTTCCGCACCGCCAGTCATGTGCCACTCCTGATTCCCTCGGTCTGGCTATCGTGCTCACGTGCTCACGGGAGAGCTGGGAGGGGCCCTTAAGGTTTCCCCGCTGTGTGGAGAGGGAGGGCTAGGGGATTACACACCTGTCGCAGCTGGTTTCAATGAAGTTATCTCCTCTGCCCGTGACGTCAGTTCTCTACCATGGTGGTATCCCATGCAAATAGTGACCGTTCGTTCCCTTTACCGGGTGACCAATGCAACGGGTGGGTCCTGACTGTCTCTCCCAAGCCCCGTTTCAATCCTGTGGCCACTGCCTATGAAGGCTCGGTTGGCTTTTACCTTGGGCCGGGTCTTTGCCTCCTCCTTAACAAGTTCCTCTTCATCTTGACCTTCATGCCTCATCTTGCCCCATTCTCCATATTAGATTCTCCTCTACATAATCCCCCTCACATTATACACCATCATGGTGACCTAGAAAGGGGCTAATTCCTTTATGCAACTCAGGGCCTGTCCTGGAGTTAGTGCAGAGGTAATTCACAGACTAATCACATGCTTGTAAGATGTGGTACCTCAAATGTACACTGAAACTTTTTAAGAACTTGAATCGTCCAAGGAGAAGGTCACATSCGGCGTTGATCAGTGGCATCCCCGTGAAGCYGGCCAAGAAACAGCCCCGAACACGCTCCCTGGGCAAAACCCGAAGCCACACCACCTCCTCAGGCCCCAGGGGCCGCCACCGCCGCCACTGCCACAGACCTCATCAAGTTTTTAAAAACATTCACCTCTATAGTCCTAGGTCCTCTATATGAGAGAAGCATATAAATTTTAAAATTATTTCCTGAGCCTATAGTAATTCTGTTTTTTTTTTTTTTTTTTGCGGGGGCGGAGGATGTTAAAAAAAGATTACTGTTGCTTAGTTATTTGACTTTGAAGAGAAGCGGAGTCATAGTGCCCATGTCCCAGTTTAAATGAATTCAGGCAGAGTAGCCTATGACAGCAATTCCTGCACAAACAGGCTGTCATATTTGGCTTTTGAAATGTCAGTATAGATTGTAGACCTGGGGAGGGCCCTAAAAAATCATCTGATCTTTCACATAGAAAGAATGACATTTAGACCATCCCAAAGAGCATAAAATTTCCCCCAATTTCTGAAGACTTCTCAGAGAAGAAAATGTTATCTGTGCTAATCCCTGGACTTAATTACTTTCTATTGGCAGGTAAGTATGTAAATGCTTTTAAAATACTCTGCCAGGTGCAGAGGTGTACATCTGTGATCCCAGCTACTTGGAGGCTGAGCTACTTGAAGCAGATGGCAAATTCAAGTCCATCCTGGACAATTTAGTGAGACCCTGTCTCCAAAAAAAAAAAAAAAAAAAAAAAAAAAAAAGAGTTGGGGATGTAACTAAGTGGAAAAGGGCCTGAGTTCTATCCCCAGTATCACCTGTGCCCCCCCCCCCCCCCGCCAGCCCAAAACAAAACAAAACAAAATCTAACAACAAAGCCCAGTGAAGTTGTTAAATTTCCCTTTTGCCCTTTGTGGGGTCAACTGGTGAGTTCACTTTTTAGAGAGTTCCTCTCACCACCGACCCCAGTGCTGGGGGTTGAACCTAAGGCCTCATGAATGCTGGACAAGCACTCTACTGCTGAGTCACATCCCCCTTCCCCCACGCCCTCCACCTTGGTTTTAACATTGTTCTCTTTTTAGAATCTTCAGGTTTCTATTTGTTCATTCAGTACTGGGGATCGAACACCCAGTGCCCTTGTACATGGCAGGCAAGTGCCACCACTGAACTACATCCCCAGCCCTGTTTGTTTTAATTGGAGCCCAGAACCAGACAATTCCTCTCAACAGGGTCAAACCAGCTTATTTTCTGCATTCTCCATTTCCACAGAGGTATGTATTCTCAATACTGTATTTGCTGCACGGCCATGTTCCCTTCTTCCTCTACATGCTATCCTATTTTTAATCTTATTTATTTTTTAAAAAACAAATTTGACTTTCTACTTGGTGGCACCCACTTAATAGTTATGTGCTTTCTAATTTGTTTTCCCAGAGGAGTAAAAGTTCTTTTTGAACACTTACACATGCTAAGAACAATGCTAAAATCCTCCATATGAATTATTTCTTATAGTTCACTTGATACATTTTATAGATGAAGACAGAGGCTTATATTAAGACCACACACCTAGGAAGTGGTAGGGCAGGGATATGAACCTAAGCAGTCTAACTCCAGGAATGGTACTCTTACTCACTCAATTCCAAATTCATATTGTTTGTGTATTGGGCCTTTGAGCCAATAAAGAAAGTCTGGAAGCCCCAGGAAAGCCTGGACTCAGGTTGTCAGATTTAACAAATAAAAGTATAGGATACCCAATTAAATGGGAATTTCAGATAAATAATATACTCCAAAAAATACTTTTAAAAATAAGTATGTCTCATACAATATTTGGGATATACTTACACTAAAAATTATTGTTAGTCTGAAATTTACATTTAACGAGCCACCCTGTATTCTATCTGGCAACACCAGGCAAGGAAGCATGCCGAGCAGAGCCTGGGACTTCCCCACTGAATTGATATCAAAATGCATTTTGGGTTAATTGAAAATATTCCTTCTCTTTGGAGAACTTCAGTGTATTAATTCTTTAAAATGACAATTCTCTATAACACCTGCCAAGAATTTATTCAAAAATTAAGTTGTTTGCTTGTGTGTTCTTAATGCGATTGATTTTCATCTGAATATATTTTAAGGGATAACTTAACTCACTAGCCAGGGATGTTTTATTTCTTTATATCACCTATCCTTATATTAGCAATTGCTACATTTCACTTTAATAAAAAATAAATCCAAAGACTCATTTTATTTAGACAGACTGAAAATAAAACTAAGACATAAATTCACAAGGCTTTTTGTGTTGTCCCAAACAATTCTTCCAGCTTTCAACCCAAGGCAGTATCATTTATAGAATGATTAATATAACAAGAAATTATTTCTCAGTAACAAAGGGGATCATTAAACTCTTGGGGCTCTTTGAAAAATTACTTTGATTATTCGATCACTAGCCCATACAAAAGCAGAAATAAAAAAGGAATGAAAATACAAACACAAATGAATGGTTATTACCTCTTTTATAAGGAAACAATAAAAACAGTGGCTAGAACCATATTGAACAGGACCAAGAAGTAGTGGTTAAGTTTTTAGACACAAAGTTGCCATTCACTAAGATACAGTTTATTCTCAAACTCCATAAAGTCAGTAAATATGACCATCTGACTTTAACTACTCTCTTTAAATGGTAAAGTTATCAGTGTTAAAGGAAACAGACTCATAGAAACTGCGAAAGATCATTTATAAAACATCTCCCTTTTTTGGGATCAACACATTGCTAAACTTCAGTGATTCCCTCTTTCTCAACTTAATTTGAACACAGATCCCTCCAAATCTATTTTATTTTAGTTATATAAAAAATAACAAACTTTGGCTTCCTTACAGACATTCTGTACTTATATTTAAAAGAGTGATTAAAAGCGGTACTGAATATGAATCACTTCTGTAAAGTTTTAATGAGAAACATTCCACCAAGGTGCTATTCCTTGGGAAAATTCTACAAAAACTGAATTTTATAAACAGTTACTTATTTTGATAGAAGTTCCACTTATAAATAGCAGCCATTACTTCACTGCCTGCAACACTGCAGGCTATCACATTTTATGTTTAGAATTCAAATGTTTGAAGATCAGATTTTCTAGTGTTAAAATAATAAAGATGGGTTAGTTACCCAAGGTTAAAGGAGACAGCTGACTTCCATGATTTTACTGTTCAGACAGATACCCACAACCACTGGATTTATGCTAATGAGCGTGATAACATTTATATTTTTTGTTTAAAGAGGAAGCAACATTAATCTGGTGGAAGGTAGTTGCAGCAACAGGACTTACTGAGGCTCTTTTGTGGTCAAGGGACAAACCATCACAGGATGTTGGTACAGGAGAGACTTTCAAGTTAAAACAAACCTGAGGAAAGTATGCTATTTAGAGGCTAACACTGCTCCTGAATCTACTGTGGTGAGATGGTGTTTTCTGAGGCCCATGTGGAATAATTCAGACCAGAACAGACATATATGTAAACAGGGGATGCTGGCTGTGTCATGCTGCTCCTAATAAGTGACTAACAGCATTGAAATGAAAGGAGGATGAATGCATTTTAATAATGGGGAGATGGACCTTCTGCAAGTAAGAAGTCTTAAGCACGTTAAAATCCATCCCTACTGGGAAACATTTTGCTGCCTGAACAAAGCAAAATGAGGACTGTGGTTTGAGAATTCTCAGGGGCAGGAATGAGAACAGAGAAGGGCAACATTTAAAGTAAGGGGAGGTAATATTTTGCATCTTTCTTTCTAGGCAGGCTGAACATTTCCTGACAAGCCTGGTGCTACTTAGGAGCAAGCTACCCTGAGTTCTAGGACTATTCGATAAAACAGAAGTCTGGGCATGGGACTAAAAATGAGGTGGGGATTGGTGCCAGAAAGTATCACTGCTAGTATTCACAGAGGGAAGAGGGGTACAGTAGGAATTTTTATTTCTGCTCTTTCTTTGGGGTAGGGGCAGCTAGACAAAATCCTAAGCCAGGGCTGATAATGGTCACTTAGCATACCAATACGCTTGCAAATTAACTCCAGATAGCTGCTCTTCACTTAACAATTCTGTACACCACTCTTGAGCTATACASGTTGGATTCCCTACCCACAAAACATTAGTTTCAGGATACAAGAAAAACCTTTCTTTCATGTTTGCTCTCTCCCATCCTGAATCTTCCAGGGTGACTCATAATTTTCCCAACTAGGAATGAAAAAGAAAACATTTTGAACAGATATTGATGTAGACCAGGGACTCAGCACAGGAACACGGCATGAACTTTGATATATATCCACACAGATGTCTCTGGAGAGTTAACATTCAGTCCAACCTCTGTGTGGCTGCCTGGGAGCCCAGGATTTAAAAACATACACTACTTAGAGAATAGACTCCCTTTATCACCATGTCAGATAAACACCCAATAGGAGCCATAAACATTAGGACTTCAGAAATCTCTTGGCTGACCCTTCTTCCTCCTCCATACATGGTGTCAGAGCTCTTCAATGAAGAATCGCCACAACAATAAAGACACTTGATTGCAAGGTACATACATAATCTGCCAAGCAGGTACTACAGTGGCTAATAGTGTAATGATCCCACTTTAACAACTAGTAAGCCACTTGAGTTGTTTGTTCCTATCTTCTTGATGCTAAGTGGAGCCAACAGAGAGATTATTTGAGAAGAAAAAACTGAATCACAGATTAAATGAAAAGTTTCTAAAAGAATGTGTGGTGGTAACCAAGCCCTGACTCTGGAAATGTAGTCAGAAACCACCACTCTTGAGCCCTAGGGCAAGGAGCATAGTGTATAGAAAATTTTGCAAAACCTAGCACCAGTTCTTCCTTCAGAGGGCTCAAAAAAGCTTGCTTCTAAAATAACCCATACATGCACTGACAAAAATGCCAGGGAAGCCAAACATTCTCTGCAGCTGTTTTTCCACTGGCAAACGTACAAGTGCATGTTTGTTCAGTTGTAAGCCTCCCCCACAGACTTCTGCCTTGGAGATGCGGGGTGCGAATGGTGAACTGTATTTTCCCAAATAAGGAAAATCAAATCACCAGGAGGCAAGAGCCTACTTCTCCCACCCTTTAGTGACAACATCCCTAATTAAGTCATCTTCAAAGGGACTAAATTGGTGCCTGCAGGTCAGAGGTCAAACCCATGGTTTATAATCTTATCAGAAGCCAGATACAACCTACTTACCTGAATAAAACCCCAAATCATCAATCCCCACCCTCCCTTCCCAAGAAGGGGAACAGATTTAAGTCCTTTTCTTCTTTTCACCATAGTAACTTGAAGAGTCAAAGAAGGTAGTGTGGGAGGAAGGAGCATTCTGTTTCATCTTAAAAAATAAAGATCTCTGTTAAGTGTCATCTGAAGTTGTATAATTTTTTTTTTTTCAATTCTCTGGTGTGGTTGCCTCCAGAGGCTCGTCTTCTTCGCCAAAGCTTAGCTTGTCACCTAGCCCCTCATACTGCTTGCTGATACCGCCTGCAGAGTCCATGAACATGTTAGGGATGTCTTTGCCAAAGTAAATCTTGCTGTTGGAAGCAATGGCTTTATACTTCATCAGCTGTAGATATTCTGGTGTCAGCTTCAGCTGTGACAAAAAGTAAAGCCTTAAGTGGGATTATATTGGAGAAAATTTTTGGCAGCACCCCTTCAATTTTCATATGCAAAGAATTTCTATCAAAGAAATATGCCCCTTTCTATTTCCATGGGCTCCTTGTTTATATTAGTAACAGTGGAGCCATTTCTTTTAGGAGGAAGTAATCTAAGCTCTTCAAGACAGAGTGGCAAGAGCTGTAGAAATTTCCATGTTTAACRTCAAAAATTAAATTTCTATTAAAAACTCCTATCAAAGGAAAATACCTGACCCACACAAAACTGGAGTCCTCAATTCTGGCCCCAAGGGGCTCTAGGTGGTGACAGTCATTTAATACCAGATACTCTCAAGCAATATAAACCCAAATCTAAAGACACGTCTTCATCAGGCTGTGCTGGGCCTTTACCTTATTTGCTTCAGCTGTTTTCAAAGCAGTGTAGCACTCAGCATCAGCTTTTGCCTTCTCCCGGGCCAGAAATGCAGCATCTGAGGGGGAAGGAATGTAGGAAATTGGATGAAGTGCAAAAACTGGACTTTGCAGGAAATGCAGAGTCTAACAGAAGACTATGTTCTGGGGGATGGGGATGTAGCTCAGTGACAGAGCACCTGCCTAACATGTGCAAGGCCCTGGGTTTGATCCCTAGCACTGGGAGGTTGGAGGGACTGTTGTGGTTCTTGCCCCTATAACTCTTGCTCTGCCTCTTTGCCTCTATAACCTTGGGGAGTTGTCCCCCCCCCCCCCCGCCCTTCTCTCTCTCTCTCTCTCTCTCTCTCTCTGCTTTGGATTTTTTTAAAGAGAGAGTGGAGAGAGAGAGAATTTTTTTTAATATTTATTTTTCAGTTTTCAGTGGACACAACATCTTTATTTTATTTTTATGTGGTGCTGAGGATCGAACCCAGTGCCTCACGCATGCCAGGCGAGCGTGCTACTACTTGAGCCACATCCTGAACCCCTGCTTTGGATTCTTTTGGCATTTTACACTAGCTGGTGTAAGGATCAACCAAAGATGAAAAAGTGCTTTGAAAGTACCTACCTAGGACGGGGACTAGTTATGTACAAGTCTGTTGCTGGGGGCAAAATCATACATGTTGACAGCATAACCTAAAAAAGTACAGCTACCCAGAGACACTTCCTATTTCCACATGCTTCCTTTTTTTGTAGCTCCACACCTGTGAAGCAAAGCAGTGGGTCCCTGCCTCAGGCCTCAGTTTCAGAGCTCTCCACCTATCCCTCTCCTGCTACTTAGCAAAAGCAAGTGAAGCCCAAAGGTGGCTCTGAATATAGCTAGTGGATGAATCACCTTAAAACTGAATACCATCAATACAAAATTGTTCAATTTCTTTCCAAAATCATTTCCTTGTTATTTATTTTTTTATTTGTTCTTTTTAGTTATACATGACAGTAGCATGTACTTTAACATACCATACACACATGGAGCAAAACTTCCCATTCTTGTGGTTGTACATGATGTGGAGTTACACTGGTCATATATTCATATATGAACATAGGAAAGTTATGTATGATTCATTCTACTGTCTTTCCCATTCCTATCCTCTTTTTAATTTCTATCAATTATTTAAAAATATTTATAGCCCAAGGGCAGTGCCCATGCCGGCAATATCATTAACTTGGGGGGATGAGGTAGGAGGATTGTACGTTCTAGGCTAACCTGGGCAACTTAGGAAGACCCTGTCTTAAATTTAAAAAAAAGGTGGGGAGGGCCTAGAAACATGGTTTAGTGGTAGAGTACCCATGGATTTAAAACCCAGTACCAGAGCCAGGTGTAAGTGGCACACGCCTGTAATCCTAGTGGCTTGGGAGGCTGAGACAGGAGGACCTCTAGTTCAAAGCCAGCCTCAGCAATGGCGAGGCATTAAGCAACTCATTGAGACTCTGTCTCTAAATAAAAAATACAAAATAGGGCTGGGGATGTGGCTCAGTGGCCGAGTGCCCCTGAGTTCAATCCCCAGTACCAAACAACAACAACAACAAAAAGCCAATACAGGGAAAAAACATTTCTAATTAACAATGATTAAGCTGGCACAACTCTAGAGAGAATTACATACAGTGATCAAGACTAATACATGTCTGGATTCAGATCTATTTAATCCCACTCTGCAAGTGATATGCCTCTCGACTTAGTTGGAACTAACTTTCTGGCAAGCTGATGAAAAATTTTTGATGTGTGCCCCTTTGCCCTGGGAATGAGGTCAGCCACAAGTAATATCTGTAGCAAAACACCTGGGGAGAAAGGTCAGTCTGTGGGGGTCTTAACTGCATGCCTTCAGCATGACCCTAGGGTGAAGGAACCTGTAGTCTTGCTGTAGTCTTGCTGCCATGGGAAAATTCAACTGGCCTTAGTACCTGATGACAGGTATATATAAAAAATAAAAATGTATCGTTTAGCTGAGTGCAGTGGCACATGCCATTAATATTAGCTACTTGGGGGTGCTGAGGCAGGAGGATCACAAGTTCAAATCCAGAAATAAAATTACAAAAAAGAGCTGGGAATGCAGCTCAGTGGTACAGTATCCCTGGATTCAATCCCAAATCCCTAGTACTGAGAAAAAAACAAAACAAAACTGCTGTTTTGCTAAGAGATCCTGAATGAGAAGCTACTGATCTGTGAAATCCTAACTGGCTCCTCAGTGGGTCCTTGAAAACCTTACAAGTCCCATAATGAATATAACTGGACATAACACTTTGTAGCCTAAGGATCCATTTTTGTCCTAAAATTTGCTTGACAAAAGGACCACATGAGATAAAAGGTGGGTAGTGGGAAAGAGGTGAAGGCTTAGGAGCAGGAACTGAAGGTGAATGATATTCAGAAAAACTAGCAAAGAAAACACTTTAGCTTTAGTGTTGTTGGTTTTGAATTTTCTTTCTTTCTTCTTTTTTTTTTTTTTTGTGGTGTGTGGTATTGGAGATTAAATCTAGGGGCACTTTATTATTACTGAGCTGCATTCCCAGCCCTCTTTATTTTTATTTTGAAACAGGGTCTAAGTTGCTGCCCTTGAACTGGTGATGCTCCTGCCTCAGCCTCCTGAGTAGTTAGGATTACAGGCATGTGCCACCATGCCAGGCTTTAAAAAAACATGTTTTCTTCAAAGCCAACTTAGTATCTGCTTAGACCTTGAGAGCAGACTTAAAGATCAAAATAATGGCATGGACTGATTTTAAAGGAGTGGGTGGCTGAGGCAAGGGGGACCAGCTGCTATTCTGGCCCAGCTTCTAAGTTTACTCCCAATGCTCAGAGGCCCCTGCTAAACTGTGAGCTCCAAAACAGCAGGGACAGTGACTTCCCTTTTCCTTATATTTCATAAAATGCCTGGCACACAAAGGCACTCAACCAGAATTTGCTGAATGAATGAATGCTCTCTAAAGTAGAATGCTGAATGTTATCCTGGCTGAAATATCCAAACTTGAGTCTAAGCACAGAGTAAAACACACGTTTCAGAGAGATTATGACATCCTAGAAACAGAGACTAAAAAGCAAAGGAAACAATTCTCTCACCCACTTGCCAAAAAATAGAGGCTGAATCAAACTCAGGCATCAATGTTACTTCTGCTTACCTTCAATTTCTGAGATCCTCTTTTCAGTTTCCTTCTCCATCACCTTCTGCCCATAGGTGATTTCTGCAACCTGAGCTACTTTTTCTGCTTCTATAAATGAAGTTGAGAAAAGACTTACAGCTCTGACACTTCAAGTTTGACTAATTTCACTTTCTACCTGATCTGAGTGCCCTGTGCATGACAATGGATATGCTCAGATGGAGAGCTGCTTTCCCCATAGGGCACCTGTGACAGGCACATGTGGGCAGAGATTGAATGAGGAGTGAGTATAGCAGCACATCATCAGTGCAAGATGGTAACCAATAGTAACTGGCCCCAGGGAGAAGAATCATTTCTCTGAGGAAGGTGAGGAACAAGTCCTGACTTCTCTCCCAAGTCACAGGTATACTTCTTCCCAAATAATATTTTAAGGACACTTCATTTTAGGAAGTAGTTGGGTTGGTTGTTGATAATGCAGGGTAGTGATCAGGAGCACAGTCTAGAGCAAGAATCTCTGAACTTGAACCCCAGTCCCACCTCTACTTGCCACAGAACTCTGTTATTCAACTTCTCTCTGCTTCAGTTCAGGTAATAAGACCAATTATGGTAGCTACTTCACATGACAGTTGTGAGGACTTAGTTCCTTCACATATGAAGTGCTTAGAGAAGAACATGACTCATAGTAAGTACCCATTAAGTGTCAGCCATTGTTATTATTATGACTTATGACTAATAGAAAGGGCTCCTTCCATTTATGAAATAGGTAGAAACTCAAACTCATTACCCTGGCCATGATCTAACAGTTTCAACTTTGCTTCTGGGGCATGAATGCCTCTCTGGCGTGGTGGAAATGTTTTGGAAGACTATGTAGTCTATTCATGCCTGGGCCTTCCCTGCATCTTCCCATCATTTCCAGCCCTTCCACCCTGAAAAGGAGATCACAGAACCACATTCAGACCAATGAGGGCCTTCTTCCGCTCTGTCTCAGCCTCCTTCTCCACCACCTTCTGTTTCTGGGCTGCAATAAGCAGCTTTGTCTTCTCACTTTCCCTGAGGGGGAAAAATATGCAGCTGTGAGGCTATAATAGAAAAGCCGGGGGAAAAATATGCAGCTGTGAGGCTATAATAGAAAAGCCGATGCAGAACTTCACTGTCCCCTGGAGAAGCCAAACTCTTTCAGTGAGGAGAAGCACACTATAATTTCTTGCTGTCTCCTGGAAGAATGTTCAATGGCCCAGGTAAAAGCTGATCTGTTGCAGATAGTGACTCTTTCTCTTCCAAGCTAACTCATTTATGGAAATTAAACATAATATAACAGCTGGGCATGAGCATGAAGGTACATGCCTATAGCTTCAGCTACACAGAAGAGGCAGAATGACTGCTTAAGCCTAGGATTAAGCCAGCCTGATCCCATCTCAAAAACAAAACAAAACCAAAAACATAATGTACTTTCAGTCAAACAGACCTGCTATCTACTTACTCATCTTTCCCTCCTATCTTCACATTTAGCATGAGCCACTGAACATGAAGAAGGCCCCAGGCCTTTTAAAAGCATCCTGCTCCACACAGCTGATTCTCTCAGTTAAGGAGTCCCTGTGAGGGCAGTGACATGCCTGTGTAATCTAACAGTGGAGTAGGCTATCATAAATGCTCAAGAAAGGGAATAACCAAAAAGCCTGGCACAGTTTTGGTTAACTCTGAGATGGGAAAGGTGGGAGGTGGTAGAGTGTGGTGGTCAGTTAGGCCTAGGGCATACTCACATCAACTCGTAGTTCCTGCGGATGGCCTCAGGTATATTGGGCTTTGTCACCCGCACAGCCTGGAGAAAGATACAAATAGCGAACAATGGGAAAGTGAGGGTGGAAAGATATATAAACTCCTACAGAGCCTACATATTCCTGCATAAAAAGGACATCCCTTGGAAGAGATGACCGTATTCTCCCACTGTGGCAATGCTTACTTGGATGACAAGCCCAGGGGCCATTGAAGTCAGGTCCTGTTGCAAAGCCAGTTTGAGATTTTCATCAATCTGGTCTGGAATCAATAAACACACACAAAAAGGAAATGTTATACTTTCTAGATTGGGGAGGGTGGGATGGAGGTAAAGTACAAATGAAAATAGCAGCTCAAGAACATAGGCAAAAAGTCTTCCTAATAATATCATACTGCAAAGCCCAGAAACATAACGGTGTAAACTGCACCCCTTATTTATTTATTTTTTTYGGCAGTGTAGGGGATTGAATCTAGGGCCTTGTGCATGCTAGGCAAGTACTATGGTCATTTATCAGACCAAATTATATCTGAGTCAAGGTAGAAAACTGTTGCTCTGGGCTAGTAACTTACTGGGGAAATCTAGAAGAAATATTTTGCAAAGCATTTCAGTAATATTGATGATAAGTTGCTTATATGTTATACTGATATTGATAAATTCTAATTAAATCATATTACTGGGCTGGGGATGTGGCTCAAGCGGTAACGCGCTCGCCTGGCATGCGCGCGATACTGGGTTCGATCCTCAGTACCACATAAAAATAAAATACACCGAAAACTGAAAATATTAAAAAAAATTCTCTCTCTCTCTTAAAAAAAATCATATTACGAAGTAAACACAAGTGGTTCTTCAGGTAAAGTTCTGAACAAGTATTAGAAACTATTATTATAAAATGGTCAAAGAAGATGTAGCCTAGTAAGAAGTGATAAAAATAATGCAGAGTCATGTTTAAAGATGAGGCTGAGAGAGTTTGAGTAGTTCAAGGAACATTAGAGATATGAATTTCTCCTTTATGAATATACACAGATTCTAAGTAGAACAGTGCTTGCCAGCAAGACTGAAATTCAGAAAGAAAAAAGTATCAAAGCAAATACATTTTCCTGGTTYCTCTGTATAAAAGCCACACTTCACTGAGCTACCAAGTTTATTTATAACACAGTAAAAAGTATTTAAATACAAGACAATTTAGTATTTTAATTTTCTCTTCAGGGACATTAGGAATTCTTTCCCTTTTGTTGTTTCAAATGCTTCAAAATGTTCATCAAAGGCACTATTCTCAAACAATGGCTAGAGAGAAAATTAGTATTTCATAAAATTCTATTAGTTTGAGGTTAAAAAAAAATCAATAGCAAATTTGCCAGTTTTTCCTTGAAGGTACAATTCCAAAAGCAAMGAAAGAATACAAACCCTATAAAATGAATTTACATTCAGTTTTCCACTGCATAAAAATAAAGTGATTCTGATGATTTCCTAAATCTTAGACAAAGCAAAAGGTTATTTGTCTAAGCAAATGGTCACAGGCAATATAAATGATTCCTCCTTCTGTCCATTAATAAAAAATATTTTTAGGTTTGAGGTGTAGTTCAGTGGCAGAGTACTTGCCTAGCATGCACAAGGTTTCTGATTCCATCTCTGGTACCACAAAACAAGACAAAAGAAAAAGAAAAAACCCAAAACCCCACATAGGGGCCTTTTTATATGGACTCCAGGGAAAAATCATCATCCAATGTTAGTATCAGGAAAAAATTCATTTAATTCTATCATTGGCTACTAGAAAATTCTAGAAGCAAGTTTAAACAGAATACCATAAAGGAGCTGTAACAATTACTGAAATGTCTCCTTCCTTTGTTGCTAAAGTCAGGTTGGGTTTCCTTTGATCAGGTAAAAAGGACAAAGGTGTCAACTTAAGTATGTGGATCCTTTTTCTTTAAACCATTTTCCTGTTCATCTCTTTAGGGACAGAGTGGCATGGGGGGGGGGGGAAGCAAAAAAGGTTCTAAGAACTGTAAAAAGTTAAATTCTCGTCTCACTTTTAGAATTATGGAACCATAGCATTTTCATCACCCATCCCTGGGGCCCTTCACTTGGTGTGGTGTGGTACATAGAGAACACTGAATTAATAGCCAGCAGAGAAAGGTTCTAGTTTCAGCTCTGCTACGAACTAGCAATTAGCTCATAACTTTCTTGCTTTGGGCCTCAGTACACTTATCTTAAAATGAGAATGTTGGGAGGATAACCTCTAAGGTTCTTCTAGAAATAATGGTATCTTCATTACATAATGATATTTTAGGGGAAGAGAAAACACTTTWCTGTTCCAGTTCTCTGAATCCAGTCAAAAGTGAATACTCTATTCTACTATTATTTTTTTTTTCAAGGATCTTCTTTCATTGACATTAATATTTTCCAGGAACTCCTTAGGAACGAGTTCCTAAATACTATCTATCTTATCTTGTGGGAGCTAGGAAACAGGTAGTGGGGTAATATAGGATTGCTAAAGCCTGGTATGAACGAGGAAGGGGGACTTTCTTACCAAACAGCTCAATGTAGACTTCTTGAAGTGTATGTACACTGCAGAACTGGTTCAGCTCATGATGGATCTTGTTGAAGATGAGGGCCTTGTCATAGTCGGCAGTATAGTTCTTCACTATATCATACACTGGATGAGGGAGGAGAGAGTTCAGTATAAGAAAATGTAAGATTCCAAACTCCTCAAACTTTCTAAGACACAGCAACTGTCCCTTCCTGAGACACCAAGAGACAGGCAGATATGGGGGAATTAAGCGAGTGGAGAGGGTACACTGGAAGAATACCTGCATTTGGTACCAGGAAGTTCACCACTTCAATTCTGTCAAAGTAGATCATCACACCACCACTATTGGAGGAAGAAGGGACAAAGAAGTCATTAATAAGTTCTGGAATATTGTGCAATCTCCAGATAGCATAAGATGTGTGATTGGCAGAAAAGGAGCAGAATATTTGTGGGACATCAGAGCTCATATCAACAACCTGATCTGAGAAATTACACCTCTCAAAAATACCTCCATAAGAACTAGTGATACTTTTGGGATATCAGTAAGAAAAGAGCAGTTCATATCTTTTGAATCAGCAATGCCTTTTGATGAAAGCAATGGACTGCAGGGAGTAGACTAAGGAAGGTAAAGAAGTTTTCAGAACACACAAGTTCACTGTGGAATTTTATGGTGTTTCTCACTTTGGCTTTGCCATCATATTCGTTCAGCCCTCCCTTACCCCCTCAAACATTCATTATTAAGAACAATTTCTCAACATGGCATTCTAGCCCCTCCCAAACCCTCTTGGRTCCTCTCTACTACACTCCATTACTTGGTCAAGTTAGAATAGAGGGGCAGGAATATGATAAAACCATTACAACACAGTGTCACTGTCTCTTACTTCAGCCACTCAAAAAGTCCTTTCCCTTACTTATTGGGGTTTAGCYTTATTCTGGGTATTTTACCTGGTTCCACAGGGAACATTCTTCACCTCATCTGTCTGGAGTGTGGTCTAGAAACAGAGGAACATCAAATACTTTAAGATGGACAGTGACAAACAGTGAAATTTACTATTTGGAATCCCAAATACCCTTGGCCTTAACTACTTGTTTGGGTTAAGCTTTGCCTTTGTTAAACATGAATAACTCACCTAATCYCCCTTTACAGTATGTGCATCTAAACCAGATAAAGGTACCTAAACTACCTTTACTGTAAGGGAACCACATTTGAACAGGCAGAGAAATAATGGTTTAGGTGAAAGATCCTGGATTAGGAGTCTTAAAYTGTGTGTTTTGAAACAGCAAATTCCTATTTAACCTGTGTTAGACTTCAGTACCTGCTTAGCCTGTCCTCAGGATTACTGCCAAACTCAAATGAGGTAATATACTTGAATATATTTTTAAAACCATAAAAAAATGACTATGAGGTATTCTAGGACATTTTGCTGGTTCAGTTGAGAAGTTATTCTTGAAATCTGATTTTTTCTTACATGGACATATCCCAGAGATGTCTAGTCTATCTTAGCCATGTTGAAATCTGTCACTTATAACCTTTTTTGTTGTTGTTGTTTTTCTMTAAGTATTGGGGATTGAACCTAGGGGTGCTTTACCACTGAGTATGTCCCTAGTCCGATTTTTTCTTTTGAGACAGGGTCTGGCTAAGTTGCTGGGGCTGGTCTTGAACTTGTGATCTTCTTGCTCAAATTCCCTAATAGCTGGGAATTACTGGTGTGCTGGGCATTCTACAGCTCATTTTACTCTTACTTCAGATGTTATTACCCCTCACTAATCCAGCTTCCCTCTTTCGCCTAAAAAGTTATTTCACATTTCTGAAGTTTAAATAAGAACCAGCAAAATTACCATGCTTTATTTCTATCTATCATGGTAGTCTGTGCTCTAAAAAACACAGGCATACATACATATACACTAAACTTTTCTTCTATATTTTCAGAAGAATCTTCTCTGGTTTTGTCTTGAAGTGAAGAAATAATTTCCATATGGGGCTAATGGTCCAAGGCACGGCAATGATGATTCCATTCAGCTACTTCAATAATCAAGTAAAGCTCCAAGAGCCTCACTGTGTTTGCATACCCATGTGTGTTTGTGATACTTAAATCAGTCTCTGAAAAGGCATTTTATTTATCCAATGGCTCAATAATTTCAAATCATGTTATTATCAACAATCCAAATTTGTAGTCATTCAACCATACCACACAAGCCAAGTGTACCTGCACAGACTTATATGATGTGATGAAAGGGAGCATGAGATGGAAACCAGGGCCACTGGTGGAAGTCAGCAGGGCACCACCTCTGCAGAGGAGGGAGAGAGAGGAAGGTTCAGTGTAGTAACAGGATCTATTACATTAAGACCACGTGGGCTAACTTTCTCTTCAGTCCTATAAACATTTAATATAGAGTGACACATGCCACAGCCACATCCAGAGATCTTTTTCTTCCTCTTGCTTCAACACTAGGAAGCCTGAAAGTAAGCTTTTGCACTAAGAAAAACAGGCAYATGCGTAAAGTGAAATGAAGACAGTAAACTGGGTGCAATGGTGCACGCCTTTAATCCTAGCAACTCCGGAGGCTGAGACAGGAGTGCAAGTTTGAGGATAGGCTCAGCAACCAAAAAAAATTTTTTGTGAGACTCTGTCTCAAAATAAAAATAAAAAAGAGCTGGGGATGTAGCTCAGTGGAAAAGWGCCCCTGTATTAGATCCCCAATACCGACCCCCCCTTCCCTGCAAAAAAGGGACAGCAGAATCCCTGGCTATATTCAAGATAAGAGAGGAAGTCTTTTTCACTTAATCATTATCTGTTGAGCTTGTGGCAATTCTTTAGGGAAATTAAATGAAGTGATACACCATAAATTAATTTACATTGTTTTTGAGAGTTAAGTGACATGGCCAACTAAAAGAATAATTTTATGTATACACTATAAGTCATTTAAATATATTTATCTGACAATATTGAGTTACCTTCCTAATCAGGTTGTTTGTAATGATAACCTGTTTGGGGAATAAATAAATTGATGGTGGGGAGAAAAAACTAAAAAGGACCTTAGAAAGTAGGGGGAGAATTCAATCAGAATTTTAAATTTTTTTTTKGGGGGGGCACTGTGGATTGAATCTAAGGCCTTGTGCATGCTAAGCATGCTTTTACCACTTAGCTACATCCCTAGACTCAATCAGAGTTTTAGAAGTTGCTATTGGCAATCCAGAAATAAGCATCATAGGGCACATTTAAGAAGAGRTTCATAAAGACTTAAAGCAAAAGCTTTGGCCATGGAGGATATTAAAAGGAAACCAAACCAAGATTTACAAGTGTTTCTTTGCTTTACACTGTGAAGTCAAATTTAATTAAAAAAAGAATAACATAAATAATGATATAATTGTAGGAACCATTATCTTAAGGTTTGCCTTGACTGATACAGATCAATTTGCAGAACCGTTTGTTTTCCCCAAAATGTTCATTCTAAAAGAGACTCCCAAATTATCAGAGTGGGCTATCTTCTCAAGTTGCCATCAAGAACTGGGACTCAGATGGCTTTTCTAGAGGTAACCTGATAGTGTTGAGCCAAGCCTCCCAGAAGTATGTTTGAGAGGGATGATCAGGAAAGAGTGCTGCTTTTGTTTCTGAGTCTATATACACATTTATCCATCACCAATACTAASGGAAGTTCTAAATATGCATACAAACACACTTGCATATTCACACACTTGGTTTGTCTTGGTCACTGACACAAAAAGCTCAAATCTAAAAACACTGCTGTATGCGATAATATATAAACTTAGTAAAATCTGCTATAGTAACTAAAAAAGGGAGCCATTTAACAGGAGGTTGAAAGTTTCTACCTGTCTCTGCCTTACCTGTAATATACCCCAATGTGTCCCTCTTCTATCTTGTGCACAGCTGAGAAGAGAGAAGCACAAAAGAAACTGGAAGCCACCGCCACAACTGCTCCCAACTGAGCCATCAGTGAACCTTTATCCTAGGGAAAAGATGTGGGAAAATGTGTATGGCCAGACATGCAGGAGAAAAGCCATGCTAGTGAGTGCCTCACCAAGTGAGGCTCCCTGAAAGTGACTCATATGCAGCCTACTGTAGTAGGAACATAAGGCTACATCTACAACTCATTTCATCCTTGCTCTCAGTCAACATTCCCATTCCCTAACAGTGGAATTATGTTCCCCATCACAGTGAAGAGGCAATGGCTTCAGTCCTTGTCCAAGTAAGAACCAGTGCCAATTGGGCAGGGTTGGGAACACAGCCTTAACTTCCTGTGAACATGAATGTGCCGTTACTGGAGCCTCACACTAGTAAAGGGAARGGAGCCAGCTGCAGTATGCTGGCCCAAATTACAGGGGATGTCAAATGACAGGCAGTTGTGGCTATGTAATTCTGGTCAGGGCCTCCCAGTTCTAATTGCCTGCCATTTCAGAGGAAACCATCATTTACTCATTTCAGATGCTAGAGACAGAAGCAGCAAGCAGCAAAGTTCCAAAGTGGGATCCTCTGGCCTTTCATCCACCTTCCCAGTTATTCATTTGGACTTAAACGGGATGGGACTGTGAACTGAAGCCACTCTCTTGCCCATATCCTTTGCACTTAAGCCTGTCKTTCGGAGAAACCGGGACGGCCCAGGCTGGGAGACTGAGGGCTCCTGGGTCTAACTGCGTTCAGGCACCTGGATGTGAAAGAGCTGGCATTCAGAAACTCATTTCCTGAACCTTGAACCTAGATGACTGACAGCAAAGTTCAGTCGGATGTGCCAGGGCCCATCCGCGCATGGATTCTGCCTCCCGGGTCTAAAATAACTGGGACGCAGATGTCTGAGGCACTTATTTTATCGTGGCCGCCTCTAGCTACCAATCTGTAGTTGCGTCCTTTTTGCAAATGCCCTTTCCACCCCCGAAATCACCTCCACCCCGCCTCGCGCCCCTTCCCCGCTCTCCTCTGAGAGAGGGTCGCGCGTCCCAAGGGCTCCAAAAGCCTCCGCTGGGTCCCTCCTGGAGCTCGTGGGCAGGGAAGAGACAGAAAGGGTTTTCTTTCTCGCTCCCGAGGGGGCAGGCTGAGGGAGAAAGGCGGCTAAGGCCGGAGCTCCGGAGGACCGAGGCTGAGCTCGGGCMAGAACCCGCAACGAGGCCGGGTGCGCGCACTTAGGGGCGGGGGCCGCGTACCAGGCTGTCCCTCCAGGCGCTCCGTACTCGTCCGAACCCCAGKGCAACCGCAGAAACCGCCACACCCCTCAGCACGCTGCTTCCTTCCGGGCCYGTCGCTCTGGTGACGCCATCAGTTCCCGCGAGAAGACCACACCCCCTTCCCTCGACTTCGTTCGTCCGCTCCGCCCCTCTCGATCCTAGCAGTCAGTGTCCGTGGACTGCCGCCAGGGAGCGCTCGCGATTCGGTCCGCGAGGCTTTAGACCGGTGTAGGATTTCGGGGCGGGGATGGAGTGGAGAGAGAGGTGGTGTCCAGCGCTTAGGGAGTGAATGGCAGGACGCGCGTGGCCGTGGGTATCACATTCCCAAGTTTTGACTTTGGAGATGGCTCCGGATTCCCCTCCACGTTATGTTAAACCTGCTTCTTTCCCGTTCTTCCGGAGGCGGTACTAACGAGTCACAACGTTCTAGTCTAGTCCCCTGCTCGACGCTTTCCCGTAGCACAGCTGAAGGAAACGATCTTGGAAATGTGCAGATCAGCAGAGTGACGTCSATAGTCAGCAATCCCTACTTTGAATTTCCATTTACAATTTTCTGGGAGATTTGTCCTTTGAGGTCCCCACAGCAACASAGAGTAACTAAGGACTTATTATTCCCAATTTTAAGGAACGGAATCTGAGAAGTTCAGTGAGGTGTGGGGATGACAACAGTCAGTAGAAGCTTCCTTCTCGTTTCCTTTATTAACTTGAGCTTCCTGCAGGGCTTGTGCGTGTCCTCCTCTCCCTGGATGGAGGGCAGATGTTTTTCCTTTACAACCCCGGGTCTTAGGTGCGTAGGAGGTACAGATTGAAGGCATAGTGGAGCCAGGACCAGAAGCTAGACTGGGGCTCCTGCTCTAAGGACCTCAAGTTGTCCTCAACCTACACTGTTAAGCGCATCACTTTGGGGCATTTTTATTAGAGAGAGAGAGTGAGTGTGTGAGTGTATGTGTGTGTGTGTGTGTGTGTGTGTGTGTGTGTGCGCGCGCTCAGAATTGAACCCAGGGCCTTCCGAATTCTAAGAACTTGCTTTTCTACTGAGTTGCACCCACCATGGGGTATTTCTGTCAGTCACTGAAGTCATTTTGTTTGTAGGTGAAAAAACTTTGAAGTTCACTGGTAAATGCTAAACTTTTACCTAGGGAAGATGGYAAGCTGGCAGTGTCAGATGAATTCTGGGCTCAGGAAAAGGAAAGTGTAGGTTTTCTAGGCATGGCTGCTTGGAATTTAATGCCCATTTCCCCTCCCTGAGTTTATTCTGGGTGAGTTTACCAGTATTACACGTTCAAGCCCATAAATGGGCCACTTGGTGCTGATTGGGAGCCGCGCCCACACCTCTATGCTGGAGGGCCTCTCCTGTCCCCACTCTGTCACAGTGTACTCTCCTCCTGCAGCACACACATACACAGSTCACCAACCTCTTCATGGATTGTATCAGAACTTGAGAGCCTTCTCTTTCTCAACTTTTAGATAGGCTTAATAAAAGTTTATTTGCTAGTTGAGTGAATGAGTAATAAAAATAGAAATGTRGAGGCTTATCAACCTAGGGAATGGAGTTGTCTGCAGCATCAAGTGTTTAAATTACTTAATTTAAAATTTTCTTGACTATTAAACTTTGAAGTGAATTGTGAGTGAAAGTTGTGGGATTTTGTTCTCAGGAGGACTTTTGCCAGGTCTGAGCTATTTAGTTATGGCCTTGCCTAAAGGCAGCAGATGGATCCAGTGGATGGTGTTCTAACAGTTCTGAAAACCCTTCTTCTGAGAGACTTGTAATATTTATGACACAGTATCCAAAAAGTTACCAAGTAGATAAGTCTGTGATGATTTGATTAACAAAAGTGTTTTTAAAAAATGGTTTTAAGAAACTTGCTGTGAAAGTTGGGCATGGTGGTGCTCATTGTAATCTTAGTGGCTTGGGGAGACTGAGGCACGAGATTTGCAAGTTCAAGGCCAGCCTCAGCAATTTTGGGAGACCCTCAGCAATTTAGCAAGACCATGTCTTAAAATAAAAAATAAAAACATCTGGGGAGGTAACTCATTGGTAGGGTGACCCTGTGTTTAATCCTCAGTATGAAACAAACAAACAAAAACTTATTGTGGGATGGTGTAGCTCAGTGGTAGAGTGCTTGCCTAGCATGTGTGAACTCCTGGGATTCATCCAGTATGGCAAAACAAAAACCTTGTAGAATAGAGTGGTGGTTAAAATGGAGGTAATAATAGTATGAATMTTGCAGGACTGTTGTAAGGATTAAATAGAAAATCAATAAAAACACATACAAGATGTGATGGATTAAGTGTTTGCTTAATGTTGCTGTTTTAAATAGTAAATTTCCTTCATGTATTTCTGCATATTTGTGGGTTTAGATTATTAATGTGACAGAGGGTGAGGAAATCCTAAGCTTATGTGGTATTGCACAWTAATCAAATGAAGAGTTATCAGAAGAGATAAGAGACCCAGAAATAATATCTCAATAGGTATTTACTAAACAGTTTTCATGAAGCATTATTGAGTGCTTTCCATGTTATCAGGCCTTATGGCTTATACTTTCTCATCGTGCATAAGCTTCTGGTCAGCCCTTTGAGTTCAACTCCATTTTGGAGGAAGAAGTCAAAACTTACAGAAATTAAGGGATTGTCTAAGGCCTGTAAATTGCAAAAGTAGAATACAAATGAACCCAAGTCTAATTTTTTATAATAAATGATGTGGAAAATGATTCATCTTAAAACATACACACATAATACATTCGCAGACACAAGTACACAYACCACATTTATTTCACATGTAGCCTCTTAGGAATCAGTGGTCAAAAATTGCAAAACTTTAAGTTGGGCCTAGTCATTGTGCAGCTGCAGATTGAAGCAGCATGTTGGTCACCTCTGTACTATTATAAAAAAAAAAAACACCTGAGATAATCAATTATTAGGATTTGAATCTAAAATATCCTCCAAAGTCTCAGGTCAAAGGATGGTCCCCAATGCAGCAAGGTTCAGAGGTGAGGCTTTTAGGCAATGATTGGATCATGGGGGCTCTGRCCTCATGAGTGGATTAATCCAAGTGGATCAATTCATTGATAGCTGAAAGGACTCCTGGGAGGTGAGACCTTGTGGGAGAGTGTAGGTCACTGGAATTATACCCTGGAAGGRTTTATCTTCTCCCTAAGCCCCTCCCTCTCCCATCTGCTGCCATGAGCAGCTTTCCTCTGTCATATACTCTTCTGCCAYGATGTTCTATCTCACCCCAGGCCCAGAGCAATGGAGTTGGCCAATAACAGACTGAGACCTCTGAAACCATGAGCCAAAATAAAAATTTCCTCCTCTAACCCTCTAAGTTGTTCTAGTCAGGTTTTTTGGTCAGAATGATGAAAACTGACTAACACRTGAACTTGAAGGAGGAAAGGTTTATTTTGGATCACAGTTTCAGAGGTTGAAAGTCCATGGTCACTTGGCCCTTTGGGCCTATAAGCACAGAATATCATGGTGGGAGTACATGGTGGAGGAGGCCTGTGCACCTCATGTCAGCCAGGAAGCAAAAAGAGAGACAGGAAGGGGCCAGRGTCCCAGTRTCCCTCCAAGGGTATGCACCCAATGACCACTAGGCCCCACCTACTAAAGGTTCCACTACCTCCTATRAGTATTATGGGTCCAGCCTTCAACACATGGATCTTTGGGAATATTCAAGACCCAAACTGTAACAAACAGCATGAAAAATGCTCCCACCCAGCTGGACATGGTGGTGCATGCCTATAGTTCAAGCAACTTGGTAGACTCAGGCAGGAGGATTGCAAGTTCAAGGTCAGCCTCAGCAACTTAGCAAGACTCTGTCTCAAAACAGGGTAAAAGAAAAGGGCTAGGGATGTAGCTCAGTGGTAAAGCACATCTGGGTTCAATCCCCAGTACCAAAACAACCCCACCAAACTCTCACCCAATGTTTGGGTCATTTTTTTTGTGTGTGTGTGACTGTGACCAAAAGATATGATAGAACAATTTTAGAGGAGGAAAAGTTAATTTGGCACTCACGGTTTCAAAGGTTTCAGACCTTAGATGGTTGACTCCAAAGCTCTGGGCCCAAAGTGAAGCAGAATGTCAGAGCATAAGGGCATGGCCAAGAAAAGTAGCTGAAGACATGGCACTGGGAAGGAAAGAAATTATAAACCCCAAAGACATGCTCCCAGTGATCCACCTCTTCCAGCCACACCTACCAGCTTGCAGTTACCACCTAGTTAATTCATCAGTGGATTAATGCACTGATTAGGTTAAGGCTCTCATAACCAATCATTTTATTTCTGAGTGCTCTTGCATTGCCTCACACATGAGCTTTTGGGGGGAAATCACATACATATCCAAACCATAATGCCTAGCAATCCACATCCCCCTATCTCTGGATTGCTGTTTGGTCCWTTTATTAGCTTTTATTAGTGAGAGTGCCACTTCTAAGAGAGAAGTGACCCCCTTCTTTAGCAATGGAAAGCATTTAAAAAAATTAGAAACCAGTTAATKCCAAAGGAATGAGGTAACTCTTCAACTCCTTGGCTTCAGTTCTTTTATATCATAAGAATTGAAGTTTCTGGCAAAAAGTTTTTGTTAGATTTTTTTTTTTACTTTAGTATCTAAAACAGAGAACACAGGTCATCTTTCCGAATGTTTGATCTCAGAATCAAGATTTGAGTGAGTGTGGGAAAAGAGTGACAAACTATATGCTGGGAKTGCTACTCAGTATAGAGCACTTACCTAGCATTGCATGAAGCCCTAGGTTCAATCCCCAGCACTGCAGAACTATGTCCTTAATTATTAAGAGGTATTCTTAGAATTTTCTGCTCTTTTTTTTCAATTGACAAAAATGATCCAAGAACAAATGGAAATTTGCTCAGAGCTAATGACATTTCTCCAAGGCAGTTGGGTAAAGAGATCAAAGAGTCATCATGAAAAAAATTGAGTTGGAAGACA